ATGCAAGTAAGGGTGATGACCTGCTTCCTGCTGGGACTGAGGATTATATCCATGTAAGAATTCAACAGATAAATGGCAAGAAGACCTTTACTACTGTCCAAGGGATCGTTGATGATTATTATGATAAAAAGAAACTAGTGAAGGCATTTAAGAAGAAATTTGCCTGCAATGGTACTGTAACTGAGCATCCAGAATATGGAGAAGTAATTTAGCTACAGGGCGACCAGCACAAGAACATATGCCAGTTCCTTGTAGAGACTGGACTGGCTAAAGACGACCAGCTGAAGGTTCATGGGTCTTGAGTGCTTGTGGCTCACAGAAGCTTAAGTGAGGATTTCCTTGCAAAGAGTAGAAAATTTCCCTCTGTCCCTTGTCACAAGTTTAAAACCTCACAGCTTGTATAATGTAACCGTTTGGGGTCCACTTTTAACTTGGACTAGTGTAACTCCTTCATGCAATAAACTGTAAAAAGTCATGCTGTCTAGTCTTGAAGACCCTCATTTAAACAGAGGCCAAGCAGTAGGCGCCTGGCAGTGCCCAGCCTGAAACACAGCAATAATGTGATGTTTCAGCCAAGCTCACAGATGGCTGAGTGTGGTCAGAAGTTCTCCTACCCTAAGAAAATGTCACCCACCACCTGTACAACCCTGACTGGAGTGGAGAGGATGAGATTCAGCAGCTGTAACACTAGAGGAAGACTTTGATAGCAAAAGAAAAACCCCTGGTGTCAAACCTGACAAGGGGGCAGAGCTTAGGAGAAGCCATCTTCCCTCTAGTGAGGTGACAGGACATCCAGCTTGCCACCAATGTCATTGTTTTTACTGTCTAGACATATCCTACCTAAGGGATATCCAAAGAACCAGGATGTGAGGCCCACCTTTCAGAGTTAAATTTTTGACAAGGGAACAAATTCAAAATGATGTATCAGTTCTACAGCTAGCTGGAAAGCTTGCAACTTACCAACAGCTGCCCAAGATCATGGGAAGTAACAGCTGGTAACCCCCCACCCCCCACTCTTTCAGTTCTAAATGTTATGTAATATATTTAAACTATTATTTAAATAAAACTTGTTCTCAGAAAAAAAAGTGGGGGAGATTGTAATAGTACTCAACCTATCGAATGAAATACGGTGCGTAACGTTTTTAGCACTTAGTAACTACTAACTAATTGCTGCCTATCCTCATCATTTATTGTCACCAGTTGTGTAAGTAAGTTCTTCCACAATTACTTCAATATTAAATATTGTCGATTTCAAAGATTTTTCTAAAATGTTCTTCTTGGTTCCCATCATAAAAACCCTGTGTACAACAGAAAGAAACACTGCCCAGTCCTGGTCACCCTCACAATTGTTATGTTTAGATCTATGGTTGCAGACACTGGGTTGTTGATGGTTTTAGTCTTTCTCACTGATTCTCTACTTTACCAAGCATGATGTCCTTCTCCAGAAACTTGTCCCTCCTGATACCATGCCTAAAGTAGGTGACATGAAGTCTTGCCATCTTTGCTTCTAAGGAGCATTCTGACTATATTTCTTCCAAAGCAGATTTATTTGCTCTTCAAATGGCTGTTGTTGTTGTTGTTGTAAGGTGCCATAGAGTTGGTACCGACTCATTGCTACCTTATGCACAACAGAACAAAACACTGCCTAATCCTGGGCCAACCTCACTACCGTTGCCACGCTTGAGTCCATCGATGCTTCCACTTGGCCAATCCATCTCGTTGGGGGTCTTCCTCTCTTTCTCTGACCCTCCACCTTACCAAGCATGACATCCTTCTCTAACAACTGTTCCCTCCTGACAACATGTCCAAAGTATGAGAGATGAAGTTTGGCCATCCTGGCCTCTAAGGAGCACTCTGGCTGCACTTCTTCCAAAACGGATCTATTGGTTCTTTTG